GTCTAGAGAGGATGAGAAATTCTCGGGCTAAGTGTTCTTGCAGTATGAGTGCTCTAATCTTAACGCTGACCTCTAAGGGAGCAGCCCTGGTGTCCACCTGCCCTTAGTCGGTGTGGATGAGTGACCAAGGCTGGGACTGCCGGCAGGGCGGAGGGGAGCCGGGGTCCAGCCAAGACTGGTCCCCCATCCCTTGGTGCCTTCTGCCTTCCTGGGTTTGGGTTGCCGCTGTCACCACGTCACCAGGCAGTGGCAGCGCAGCTGGAAACCTGCATCCAGGTGCGGCACAGACATGATGGGAAGGGCAGCAGGAGAGGGTGTGCACAGAGGTGATGACAGGCATGCCAAGTGGGGGCCCGAACCCGTGGCCATGGCACACAGGGAGCCGCGTGTCTGTCTGAGGCAGCGGGGTGTGGTGGGCAGACAGGTGAGGTAGGTATGTGAGGCCTGATGCCCTCACCCTGCCCTGCTTGCCAGCCCCCAAAACCCCGGGCCTGGGCTCACTGCACCCGACTGGCCCGCGGCAGGCTCACGCCCACACCTCGCTCTGCCCCTGCCTCTGGCTCTCTGCTTCTCTGAGGTTTAGGAGCACGTGTGCACATTTCTGTCCCAGGCGCTTCCACGATGGGGTTTCATGAGGAAGCAAACTCTGAAAACAGCGTTTGTTCTGTGAGCTTGGAGAACAGTTAGCCACCTTCCAAAGCATCACTTCCGTCGCCCTCAAGGCGCCCACCTGCTCTGGGCACCATGCCGTGCTAGCGTCTCCTTCTGCACTTTTCTCTAGGTGCCAGGTGTCTCCCCCTGTGACTTCCTTTGTAAGGGCTGACCCCACATGTTGTGGTGGCTGCGATCCTGTGTTTCCATAGCTTTCAGACATCCTGCATATTTTGTAGTTCACACTGTCTAGGCATATGAATACACTGTAAAAATACAGCTTTGTTTTGCATTTTTAAACAAAGGCAACTACACTTTTTCTTGCTTCTGTTAAGGCTGAGTTAGGGACACTTCTTGGCACTTGGGACAGATCATTTTTTTAGTCTCTGCTACTGGAGGTCTTGCCTGACAGGTGGCCCACTCTGGGCAAGAGAACAGAACTAACCAGTTTACCGGCAGTCAGAGCTTCCCCCTCACTTCTTTTCTTATTTGGATCCTCGATCCTGTTGCTAGGAGCAAAGCCCTGTCCTTGGCAAGATTAAAAATGACTCAGTTGTGGTGTTTCCTCAATGTCATGAAACCGAGGTGTGGTCAGCTGTGCTCGGTACTGTCGGGTCACTGTAGGGGTGAGGCAGTACATTCAGCTATGGAAATAGAGGTCTTAAAATCTAGTAGGCACCTGAATGTTAAGTTCTGAGACCAAAGGCAAGGAAAATTGGAAGACAAGAACTGTAAGTTAAAGAAACTGAGCTTCATGTAGAAAAGAGGTTGCTCCTTCCACCCTTGGTATTGAAAAGTGTCTTACTGTGCATGTGAAATGAAATGAGCAGCTGCCCCAGGAGGAGGTTGCTGTGGGCGTCTCGGGGAGCACCCACCACTCAAGTACAGGGAGGAATAGTGCTGGTGGCGGATGCTTGCATGTCTTTATAAAGGATAATAAAAAACCCAAACTAAGAAAAAAGTGCAAATATTTTATCTACTTTAACGAGTCCTTAGTGTCGTGGACATGTGGGATCTGAACACCTCCCCTGGGCTCTCAGTAATGCCCTTTTGTTTGTAAGTGGGGTGGCCATGTCACTTACTGTCCCAGCTGGAACTCTTTTGAAAGGGAACGGGAGTGCTCTCACGCCCAGGCTGGGACAGCAGGTGTTAGCCAGGACGTGGGGCTGCTCCGCTCGTGCGCCCCGGTGCCAGGCAGGCCCTGAGGGGAGTCTGTGGGCTGCTGAGACCTCATTCTTATCTGGGGTTCAGTGCATGTCAGAGCGAGCCTGCCGTCCTGCCGCATGTGCGTTCACTCGCGCCCCGCACCACGGCGTTTCAACAAAGAGTGCATTGGTTGGTAGATGTGATTGTGGACGTCTTCAGAATGCCTGCCTTTCGATGCCTCCCCTCCCTCCTGAGTGATTTTGGCAGTGGGCTTTGCTTTTTTTTGTGGCTGCAGTGAATTTCTATCAGCAGCATCTTCCTTGGCTTATGTATTGCATAATTCACCTCTGTCTTTGGGAATCTCTGTGTGATAATGATTAAAACACAATTCAGAAGGATGGGTAAAGAGAATTTTTCAGGGGCCTGAAATTATCCAGGCACTGTACAGTCACTAAACGGACTGAAAAGCACAAGTAAATCCAATGCACAAGGCTCCTCAGGTTTGTGGTAGGGGGAACCGGTGAACCACTGGCACAGACAAGTTGCCTGGTGACCTCAGAGGGCAGCGTCCTTTCCAGCTCTTTCAGGGTAAGGTGTGAGTGCAGGTTCCCAGCCTTGGGTGGGTGAGGAGGGAGGGGAGGGGTAGGGTGGGCATGGGGTGGTGAGCCCTCCTCCCCACGGCCCCAGCCCCGTGTCTTGGGTTTCTCAATTTCTCTGCCTCCGATTTTCACATCCAGAGCATGTCAGGGGAGAAATGACTCTCAGGAGGTTGCTCTGGGATTAATTAAAACTTGTCAGCACAACTTATCAGCGCTCTGCACCACTGGGGGCCAGCTGTGACACACGTCTATTCTTCCCCACAGTCCCCTGTGTCCCCGTGAGCGCAGCACACTCCCGTCCACCAGGCACGGGCATGAGAGAAGCAGGTCAGCTGAGCCGGCCTGCCTGCCGGGGAAACCCGAGGCTCTGGGCAGGCGGGAAAAGCAGGCTGGGCTGATCTGAAGCGTTCGGCCCGTCTGCAGGGATGCTGCAGGGCAGCCCGGCCTTCCATCACACAGTTTGGAACAGTGAAAAATGAGCTTCCTGGAGTCTGTCAGACCCAGTGTGTTTTGGTCTTGGTGGAATCCATTTGGAATTGACAGGAGTGCGGGGAAATGGCTCCGCCCTCTGCAGGTGCGGAGGAGTGTCGATTTTGTTTTCCACGTGTGTGACTGGCAGCTGGACTAGTGATGGAGACACCTAGTCATGAAACCACTACTGCTTCTGTTGAATGATGCATGTCTCTGTGCTGCTGCTTTTATTCATCTACCTACCTCATGGTGTTTGCATGTAAATATGTACCCTGCATTTGTAGGTACCATTTTTGTCATGCAGTTATTAGAATGTACAAAAAAAAGTCTATGATCTTTACAAAGAGTTGCAAACAGAATTATAAAACACATATCCCAGCGTGGATGATTCTTAGAGCTGCAAGGAGCAGGCATCTTTATTTGGTTCACTTCAGGTCTGCAGCAACCACTCGATATTAAAAAAGAGGAATGGAAAATAAGATGTACAAAAGATGTAATACCCCTTTAGAAAGCAACGTTATCAGAAATGTATTTCCTACGGATCCTCCCTCCCTCTCCCATGTCCCTACTCCCCAAAAAAAGACCCCAACCTAAACCAAACTGTGAGAAGGAATGGGGAGTGAATGTATAACAGAAAAAAATAGAACTGAATTTAACTGGAACATGCTCTAATCTTTAGTTTATTTCTGGTTAAAAATATAGCAATCCAGTGCAGTGTAGTAAAGAAATCTGCTTGAAAGATAGCAGAGAAACAGCTAAACATAAGCAAAGCAAGGCAGAGTCATAGACGGGCTGTACCCAGGGCGACTGTGGGAAGTCACTTTCAGGACCTTCTCAGGAGTGAGCACAGGGGCACCTGCGTATGGACGTGGCCATGGCCTCATAGACACGTCCATACACACAGGCCAGGCTGGCTCCACAGCCAGGACCAAAGGACACTCAAACATTCTGGGATCTTGTTCTTCTGTTTGGGAGACAGAGCAATGCTGGTTGAGAAGGCAGAAACACCAGGAACCTGTTTGACTGAAACAAGTTGCGTTACATGTTCTGGGGGAGATGGATATGCAGCGATTTCTCAGGAATTTCCAAGCCACTGGGTTTCAACCACATTCCTCCTGTCCTGGGACCAGACCAGCTCCAGAGAATGAGTGAGGCATCTGGAAGGAATAGGCATATCCGTGGGGGAAGTTGCAGGCACAGGACAAAGATGTGAAACCCATGGGCTGAGTGACAGTGAAAGATGATGATGTCATATAAGGGCCACAGACGTCTGGCAGGGACATGGGAGCCTGTATACCTGTCCTGCACAGTACGTGCAGGAATGCCACATGCTGAGCCCAGACATGATGGCCCAGGGGACCCCACACTGCCCCCTGCCCTCCCGCACCAGCCCTGGGCTTCCACAGCCACCGTGTCCCCAGCACGGCTCCCCTGGGGCCTGGCCGGAGGCTCGGGGAAATGGGGCGGGGCCGCGAGGGGAAGTAAGGACTTGGCTTTAAGACTTGGTGTGGGGATCTGGCCTTGTCAGGAAAGCCACCGGCAGTGCCGAGACCAGGGCAGGGTTATGACCTGTTTCTTGGGGAAGAGAAGATGGACCTCTGCTTCCTTTACCGTGCAGCACAGATTTAAAATAGAAAAAGGCTCAGGCTGCTGCCAGCCAGGATGGGACACCCTCTTTCCCCTGCCTCACGCCCACACTCGTCACCCGCTATTCCAGAACAGAGAGGAAAAGCAGAGTTCACGGACTCCCCGCATTACACCTCAGAGCAGCTGCTGCCCCTGGCCGCGCGCAGCCGGACACTCGGAGGGTCTTCCTCGGGCTGCCGCCTCCTCCACGTCCCAGGCAGGAGTGTGATGACATTGAGGACGATGACGATTTTATTTTTTTGCCGCTGATTTGCCGGGATCCCTTTTCTTTCCACTTCAAGCTGGAGGGTCGGCGTGCTGGCCTCCTTCTGCCATGCCACACAGCATAGTGTTATACAAGCAAAGAATTTTGGCTAAAATCCAAAAAACATTACCCAGAAAAAAAGGCAAACTGTGAGTAATACCCAATCGTGTTGTTCTGTGAAGAAACTTGGAAGTAGCTGTCGGCTGTCCAAGTTATGATCCTTTCCTTTTTATTGTTTTTCTTTTAACGTTCCCCTTTTGCACACCAACTGGTATTTTTGCTAATGTGACAACCTCATCAGATGAAAAAGTTAATAAACAAAATGGCGACTCCGATGTTGAGCAAGATCACCATGGCTACCAGGATGGGAGCCGAGCCCTGGAACAGAAGGAGAGAAGACGTGAGCCCGAGGCCTGGTCTGGAGTGTTCTCTCTCCGGCCATCCTCCTCGCCCCCTTTCCCGCCCCACCCCCAGGCCAAAGTAGGAGGTCGGAGAGGGTGGGAGGGTAACGGAGCTCTTGGGAGACAGAAACCAAACATCTAACTCCTCAGGGCATGAAGCCCTTTGGGAGTCAGACTTGAGGAAGAGGTTGCCTACTTGATTCTTAGTCTGCTGTTGCTGCTCTTAGGACTCCTTATGGCTCTGGAAACTCTGGCATATGCACTTCCTTCTGGTGCCCCAGGTCTCTCTTTAAGTAAACACCCCCGCCCATATCATTTTTGCCTCCAGCTCTGTACAGCTGGGACTTCAGACATTGTCACTCAGTTTCAGAGCCTACCCAGAGCGGACCCTAAATTCATCCTGGGATCCCAAAACCAGCAATGGGAGAGAACCTGCTCTAATAGGCCTCTGAACACGTCATTCTCAGTAAAAACCTTCCCATGAGCTGCAGGGGCTCCGTGCTCACTGCCATCCCTGTGTGGGCCCGGCCTCCTTCGTAAGCAGCAAGGGGCGCTTGGTTTTCCTTCGAGCCTTTCCTGGGTTGTGAGGTGCCCAGCGCCCTCGGAGCGGAGACCCTGGCCCTCCTGGGCGCGCAGACCCCAGGCGCTCCTCCTCAGCTTGCTGTCCTTGAAGCCTCTCATTGAGGGGTGCAGAGCCTGGTCCCCCTTCCCCCCCCCATCAGGGACAGGATAAGAGGCAGCACCCAAGGCCTCTGCTGGAAGCTCCCCGCCCCGTGGGGTCCCCAGCTGCCACTCAGGACCAGGTGTTGGTCTGGCAGAGTAAGTACAGGCACCCAGCTAGAAGCCTTGCACCTCTCCCCGAGGGACCTTCACATTAAAGCACCTAGATATGCCAACATGGTTAAGTGGGTAATTAGGGCACCCTTCCTGCACCTCTCACCCCTGCCCATCATGCGGCTCTTCCTAAAATAGCCACATACACAAGTGCCCGCGGGTGGTGCACACTACCTGCACACACACCATACACACATGGGTGCACATGCACATACGTTTGCAGCTGCCAGGCTGGGAAACATGGAGTTGTGAGTGCCAGCTGGTATTTAGGTCCCAGGGGCTGCTCTCCGGGGGGTCTAGGAGGATTTGGGCACGGGGAGGGCGGGAGCATTTTAGGAAGCAGACCACCCGCAAGAAGGACACACAATGATTTGAAGGGGAAGCAGAAATGGCCTCGAGGGCCAGCACACGGTCTCCTGGCAGGGAGCTCTCTTCCAAGGGGCACTACGTCCTGAGATGCTGGGACGACACCCAGCCGAGGAGCATGACTCATGGGGTACGGACGTGTGACGCACAGGTGGCAGGCCCCGGGTGTTCCTCTTGTACGAGTGAGACTGCAGGTGCGAGCGTGTGGGACAGCACGGGTGTCTCCCGGGTGTGCACGTCTGAAGCGTGTTCCTTGGGCCTTCCACCTGCCGCTTGGCCAAGGGACCAAGGCAGGTCTGCTTACAGGTGGAAGCCACCTGACGGGGTCTTCTGGGTGCAAGACCCCTCCCCAGCCCCCGACACAGAGTCCTGCCCAGGGGACTCTCTTCCCTGCAACCCGAGAGCCTGGGGAGGAGGGCCTCTAGGCAATGCTCCCGATGCACCGGACGCACCTGAGAGGCACGGCCCTCGCTCCTGAGCAGCTCCGGGGCCCTGCATAGCAGGCCGGATCACGGCCCCACCCAGAGCCACGGACCCCAGGCCCAGGGTGGGTCAGAGGCCTCATTCTAAGGAGCTCCCAGAGCAGGCCAGGGCGGTGTTCTGGGCCCGTCTGTGCAGAACCATGGCTCTGGTAGGAAGGGGACGGTCCCTCACCCATTAGAAAGCAGGCTTTGTTGGAGCAGGACATGTGTTCTGGCAGATGGGGGGAACCACAGTGCTGGCTCATAAAGAAATGGTGTGTCCCAGATGATGTGGACCTGACCCAGCCAACATCCCACTTGCTCCCTGTGTCTGGCCCGGTCTCTCTCCGGGACTGGGAGACCTCGGAGACAGTGACAGACAACCTCCAGCACAGTGGAGGACTGTCCTGCACAGCTGGGAATTTTGAGCGAGTTGGGGGAAGGTATGGGTGAGGCTGAGGTCCTGTGCTGCCCAGTGTCTTGCTGGGAGCTTCCAGAACCGCCCAAGCGCTTCCACCACGAGGATCAACCCGGAGTAACCCTCTTGAGGATCTGTCTGAAGGAAATGCCACCCAGCGTGGCACTGGCTTCCTGTGGCGGGGGGTGGGGCGGGGCAGGCCTGCAGAACTTGGGTCTCAGGGTGGGCGGGCCTGGGCTTTTACTCCCCGGGACTGTTGGGCGCCCACTTACCGTGCTGGACTTGAGCTCATCCCCGTTCTCCTCGTCGGACTCCAGTGCCACAGGCGAGGACTTCTGGGGCGGGGAGAAGGTCAGGTCCCAGCGCAGCAGCCGGGGCTCGGCCCTGTCGCCCAGCCGCAGGCTCTCCAGTCTCTGCACCGCGGGCTCCGCGCTCGCGGCCGGCCGGGCGTTCTCCTTGTTCTGGGACTTGGACCTCAGTCTCTGCACCCCGAAGCCCCGGTCCTCGCCCTGGCCGCGGCAGGCAGCCCCCCTGCTGTAGCGTCTCTTCTGGGGGTGCGCTTCCTGCACATGCGAGTCCACCCTCAGCAGGGGCTTCATTTCCATCTCGTAGTTGCTCAGCTTTTCCTCATCCAGCTCCAGCAGCTTGGCGCCCCCTGAGCCGGGGTTGCCAGCCCGAGGGTGGGAAGTCCAGGAGAACGCAGGGGGCGACTCCGTCCACCGCTCCCGGGGCTTGGGGTTGCCAGGCTGCTTGTGGCCGGAGCCCCGGGTGCGGAAGTCCTCTGCGGGCTGGCCACTGCGGAGGGTGCCGCTGCGGACCCCTCTGGAGCCCCCCGCCTTTTCCTCACCCCAACTGTTGCGGCTGTAGTCCCCTCCTCTGCCCTCCAGGAGCATCTGGATGTCCCCGCCTCGCTCCTCATCCACCGATACCTGCCTTGAGAAGTGGGCGACTTTGTTCCTGGAGGCAGGGGCCGGCGGTGGGGTGGCTGAGGGGCTGGCAGGGAAGCTCTGCAGGGGGCTGTCATCGGGGGTCAGGTCCGAGGGGGTGGTGCCCTTGCGGTACAGCTCCGGGCTCTCCTGCTGCATGGGCGTCCCGATGGAGATCCCCTCGATGTCATCACTGGAAACCTGGTGCTTCGGCCGCTGGTACTCGAGCCCTGCGTGGAGGGGGGGCCGGCAGTGCACAGGTTGGCTTACTCAGGCGTGTGTGGAGGCCTGGTCTCGCCCAAGGATGGCAGGAGAACAGTCTGGGACGCAGTGGTTCCCAAAGCCCCTCCATGGATCCCGAGCCCCTGCCCCACAGGTGCTTTGAGGAGGACCAGGTCACTACAGGCAGTGGAAGACAGACTCTGGCCCCGGTCCCCAGCTGCAGGGCAGACCCAAGGTTCAGAGGGCACTAGGACTTGGGATCAGCCTGCTCTGGGGGCAGCGGGGCAGGTCTTCAGGTCCCACCCCCATGGGCCCTCTTGGTGAAAGGAAGCATCTCCAGCTAGGTGACCACCTATGGGGTCTCACAGCCTGGGGAGGGAGGCCACACATGGTCCCCAGCCCTGTCCAGCCAGGCCACCTCCATCTCAGGGTAGTCTAGGCCTTCCAGTGGCCTGTCCTGTCCTGAGAGAACCGGGGTGGGAGGTCTTCCCCACCTGGGGCCAGGCCTCCCTCCCCGCTTCCACACTGGAGCCTCTTGAGCCAGGGCAGGAGGCGGCCTCGGGGGACACGGCACCCTCAGGGTGGCCATAAATTTCTTGGTCCAAGCGCCCCTTTCGTGAGGGACACCCACCATGTCGGTGGCACCTCTGGTCGCCGGAGGCTCCTAGCCTCACTTTGGGGTGTGAGATGCAGCAGTGACCAGAACAAAGGCCGAGCTGCGGACCCTAGGAAGAGCTGCCGTGGCAGTTCCACCGGAGGGCAGAGGCCCCCAGGGGAGCCCCGGGCAGTCCTGGACAGGGAAACCTGAGACCCATGATCGCTGGGGAGACAGGCGCATGGGGCTCAGGGCGAGCACTCGGCCTCTGCACCTGCGCCAACTGCCTCATGGGGCGTGGCCTGGGAGTCCAGGTCTCATTCAGCTACCACACCTGTGCGCCCATGGCGCGGGGACAGGGACTGGGCTGCAGCCTCCACCGCCGTGCCCCTCCCTCTCCTTCGCCGGTCCCCAGCACAGAGGAGGCTGGAGAACAGGCTGGAGGGTGTCTGAGGAACCACGTGGGGAGCTGCCCTCCCTGGGGGCCCCACGGGCGCCACGCGGGAGGGCCCTGGGCCCATCGTAGGACTCCCGTGACCACTCCCCCCTACCTGCCCCAACTGTGATCTGGATTCTGAGCCCTGCAGGGGCCCGTGGCCTCCCCAGGAGACCGTCTGGCCTGCGGACCCCACAATCCAGAGAGGGGCCCTGTGCCCAGCTCCAGCACGCTGACTCAGCGCCACCAGCCTGGAGTTCGTTCTCAGCTAAAATTAGTTCCAGAGCACGTGATGTTCCTGGAAGCATCCTTGTGAAAATGCAAAACAGAACATGTGTGGCCAAATGGCACCTTTGTTCCCTGCCTTGGATTCTCCTGCCTCCCAGAAGCAGGCCTGGCCTCTCGCTGCCCCAAAGGCCAAGACCCAACCCATGAGGCCAGGAGCTTCAGGGCTCTCAGAGGTGAGCTCAGGGTGTGGTCTCAGGACAGAGGCTGTGTAGGCAGATTACATCCTAAAACAACCACTTGTGAGCATGGCTCTAACTGTTCTCCAGGGCTTCCTGCTGCACAGGAAGCTTCCAGAGGAGACCAGAGGGAAATGGGGCACAAAATGGGGCGGGTGGAGGCAGGGCTGGTCTGGCTTGCGAGGACGTCACCCCAGCAGGCCTCTCTCATCATCGATACTCTTCTCCGGCCCTCTCTGCCTTCCTCAGGCCTGCTCCACACAGAGAACAAGGGTCACAAATCTGGCCAACCTGCAGTGGCTTCTAGCTCCTCCCAGCTCCCACCAAGGACATGGCAGAAGCTCCCCTCACTGTTCCAGAGCCGCTCTGTTCAGCGTGGCCTCCAACAGGCACGCATGGCCGTCTGCACTTAAATGTACATTAATCATGATCAAATAAAGCTAATGATGCTGGTCCTCAGCCACACTAGTTGCAGTACCCACATGGCTAGTAGCTACCTCGTTGGACAGAGCAGTTGTAGAGTTGTGTGTCAGAGAAAGTTCTAGAATAACACTGAGGGAAGGGCAGGGAGACTGCATGCACACGCAGAGTGCACAGACATTCTGCATCATGGGAAGCAGGATAGTGATGCTTGGGAACATGTGCACGCAGGGACACAGCCCTGGAGGTAGGGAGAAATACTGAAACCACACACCCTGACACGCGTGTCTGAGGGAGGCGTGTGCCAAGGCCCCTTGCAGGGACATACACCAGCAGGAAGGACATCGCGAGTAAACATGAGGTGAGATGGCGACGGGCAGAACCTGCTGGTGTGTGGCCTTGGAGGACACCACCCTGCCCCACCCCCGCGCCGCGCCCCGACTCACCATTTTCCCTGTGCTGGAAGGAAGGTGAGAACTCTTTGGCAGTGATCCTGGCAATCCGTGCTTCCTCCTGAGCCTTCTGGGCTGCGGTGAGGGCCGCCTCGGCCTTGGCCCGGGAGTGGGAGGTCCTGGGTGGGGAGAGACAGAGGGCAGTGAAGGCATAGGAGCAGAGAGGCGGGGCGGCTGCTGGTCCCCACAGTGGGCTAGGCCAGGCAGGACAGGATGCCGGGCGCCTGGGGGTCATGCCCTCTGACCACCGATCTTTCATCCACTCATTCAGCAAACAGCTCCGGGGACCAACCGGGCCAGACAGACTGCCAGCCCCTTTGGGCAAAGGGCAGACCACACCCTGTGTGGGGCCTGGGCCCCAGAAGTGAGTTCGGCCTTTAAAGGGGAGATTTTGTCCTGGACAGAGCTCCAGGCCCTACAGCAAGGAGTGTCCCTCCTGCCTTGCGTTGTGCCCACGGACCGAAGGCCGAGACCTGTGGCTGACTCGTCTCTCCGTCCCCAGGGCTGAGCAGGCACTCAGTCAGTCCTGACCTGACAAGAAATGAACAGTTTGGGGGGCACTTGTACCCCACGGCCCCCTTGGAGGTGAGTGACTGGCCATTGGGCTCTTGAGCAGGGACAGAGAGGCTTGATGGCAGGACCGGTCAGCTCTCTGCAGCAGGTCAAGGGCATGAGGAAGAAAACGCTACCCCCGCACCAGGCACGGCTCCAGGCCCAGGAGGGGGTGGGCCACTCATGCTGGGGGCCGCGCTGCTGCTGAAGGATTCTCCAGACACGTCCAGATGCCTAACACCCTGTGCCCAGGCTGCCTGTCAGGTGTGAACCGGGCCTCATTCGTCCCAGCAAATGGCACCGCCACCCCCTGAGCTCTGCCCTGAGAAGGAAGCACAGGTGAGCTGACAGCTGGGGAAGGAGGTCCTGGGAGGCTGGAGCTGGGACTGCAGCTGGTCCCCGGCCCCTCCGCCTGGCGCTTCTTCCCCTCAGACACCCCACATTCACAGGGCCAGGCTGGGCAGCGCCCTGGCCATCATCTGGCACCTTCTGGAAGCTGCGATCACCGACCTGTATGTGGAAGAGACAGGCTTGGAGAGTTGAAGAAGCTTGTCCAAGTCCACATGAAATATGGTTTCCAGATGCTGAGAGAAGGCAGGTCTGTTCCCCACAGGCCCTGCCCAGAGGCAGGCCTAACCCCCGCCAGCATCCCAGCGCGGGCGCCGGCATCCCTCGGAGCACAGGCGCATAGGTGTAGCCCCTCCTCTTAGGAGCCGAGAGGCCCAGCGCAAGTCACGTGTATGTGCCGCAGTTTCTCCTGTGGTCACACACAGTCAATGACACCACCGACCTCACGTATGTGTGTGGGGGCACATGAAATCCTGTAACACAGGCTGGGGGCAGGCAGGGGGGCATCAGAATGAGTTTGCTCTCACATCAGTAAACACCCTGAACACGCACCATGCAGCAAACCCGGTGATGCCCTGCACCAGGACGGAGGCGGGGACGGGGGCCAGCAGTTTGCTTGATGTTGCTGCCCTGAAACTTGCTGCCCAGTCAGTGGTCCCAGGACTCTGACTCAGGGCCCCAGGGTATGGGCGGCCCCTCCTTGCTCTGTGCCTCTCCCCAGCTAGGCCCACAGGAGACCCCCCTCCTCTTATAAAACGAGGCCGGACTGGGTGCCTGAGGCAGGGTGATGCCACGGGTCCTTATGCCTCACTTGCCTGGAGTCCTGGCTCCTGGGGCACTGCTTCCCAAGACCAGAGGAACAGGCACAGTGACGAATCCCCCAAGGCAGGGGGCGCCTGCCCCTCCGAGGTCTGCTCACCACGCGCCTCTGAGTAGACTGACCCTCCCAACATCCAAGTTCCCCACAGTCCACAGGCTCAGCCAGGGGCCCCCCCGCTCCTTGTGACTGAATAGTCTGTCTTCAAACTTCTCCCACACTGACTAGAAACAACTTTACTAGAAGAAAACAAATGCATGTGACATACACACATGCACAGTACATAAAGCACAGACAGGTGTCCAGGAAGTGAAGCGAGCAGCCGAGGTGGCGCGTGTGGCCGTCCCCAGGGTTCCCGCGAACGGGCCTCCCCCGGCGCAGCCACAGCCCGCGGCCGCCGCAACACCTGGGAGCATGCCCCGGAGACAGAAGACTGAAGAAAACCTCTGTGAAGATGTAGTGTTGAGGGACTCCTCCCCTTCACCGAGTTTCTCTCCTAGACACTGGGAAAGGATGACTGTCGCTCAAGATAGCTGCAGCCCCTGTTCCTTGGGAGTATAAGCTGAGAAGCACCACCTTCTAGAAGATTCCTTTGGAAACGGTTGTAATTACAACAAAAGAGAGGCAGGAGCCTCATGGAGACAAAGCCATTAATAAAGCACTAATTATGAATGCTTCATTTGTATCAGTAATAAATCAATTAGATAAATCATTACTGCAGGCTTTAGCCCGTCCCCACCCCACAAGCTCCTGAGCGACCTCTCCCCACTGAAGCCAGTGTGATCCAGCCCTGCGGTCCCTGAAGGTCACAGCCACGAGCTTACGAACAATAGGGGCTGGAAGAGGTGCATCTGTATCTTGAGAGCCGTCAGTGTGCTCACGTGAGAAACGCTGGGTGGAAGCCAGACCGAGTGGGGGCCAGTGAGAGGCCTCGGTTGTCCGAGGCCACACCCGGGGTGGGAGTGTCCATGATGGAGGGGAAAGGACAGAAGGGCAGGGAGGGCAAGCAGAGCAGCTCCCACCACTTCTGCACCTGCCCTGGGCTGAGGCCCAGCGCGCGGGCAGCTGGAGCAGCGCGGCCGCCCCGACCCGAGACCCACAAGCTGGCAGAGGCCCTGAGCGACCCCCTGGAGGGCCCGAACGCGGGCGTGGGGGGGGGGGGGCCTCTGGGCAGGTCCATGTGTTTCCTGAAATTGTACTCAAAATGCTCTACATGCTCCACCCCCAACCCAGGCAGAGGGTTCACGCTCCGTAAGGCTCTGCGATGCCCCAAAGCGAAGACGACCAACTGCAGTGCGGACACAGCGGGCCCTGGTGGAGAGACGTGCAGCCCATGGCGAGGCGGCCACGCTGCCACGGCGCGGTCGCAGCCTAACCCTGGCACCGGTCCGGGGGGCGGGGGGTGCCCTGTATGCACCTCTGTTGATATGATGAGGCTTCTCTCCAGAATGTACCATGGGTTGCTTTTTTGGTTTTCTTTTTTGGTAATGACTGTTTTATTGAGATGTGACTCACATACTATCCAATCTTCTGTTTAAAATTCAGTAGTTTTTAGTGTGTGTATTGGCAGCTCTGCACCCATCCCCACAATTTGCGAACATGGTCGCTGCAAAAATCCCTGCCCCCTTAGCCAGTCACCCCCACCCCGCCCATCCTCCCCAACACCCTCCCACCGGCCCCAGGCAACCTCCAGGCTCTTTCTGTCTCAGCAAATTTGCCTCTTCTGGACATACCATACCCAACTAGGGTTCCCCGCCCCCACCCCCAGCCCTTTTTAAAAAAAACTGAGGCGTAATTCATATGACATAAAGTGAACCATTTAAAAGTGTTCAGTTCAGCGGCATTTAGCACGTCCAGCATGTTGTGCAGCCACCACCTCTGTCTCTACAGAACATTTCTGTCACCACAGAAAAGAGGCCCGAATCCATTAGCAGTCGCTCCCATTCCCACCTACACCCCCGGCCCCAGGGGGCTCGGAGCGACAACTCAGCACTTCCCACCTCCATGGCCAGCCGGGGGTCAACGGCAGGTGGCTGCCATGTGGAATACCGGGCCCTTCCCCCAGCTGGCCGAGTGCCCCTAATCCCAGGGACCTGGGATGATCGGCTGGCCAAGGAGCATCACAGCTGACCAGATGCATGTCCCCAGCGCTCTGTGTCTGGCTGGGACCCAAGCAGGTGATGTCTACCCTGAACCCCTGGCACACTTTTATCCACCGAGTGTGGGATGGGCCTGGCGCTTGGGGTCACACAGTGCGCTCATGGCAGATGATGGAATGTTACAAAGTGAGTGTATTTCCGGGGCTGTGACTGAGCAATAGAGACAGCAGGTGGCCGGCGGTCAGGGGACAGGGCGTGGGGGCCTCCCAAAACTGGTGGTGGGCGACACCACAAGCGAGGAGGCTTCGAGGGTGGGTGTTGGGAAAGGCCAAGGAAGGGGAGCAAGGTTGGGGACCAGGAGGACCAGGCTCATTCGTGTCTCCAGGCACACTTGTCACTACAGCATTTACTTACCTTGTGCTTCATCATCTAACAAGGGGAGGCAAATGAACGAATAACAGAATGACTTAAGGTCCCGAGGAAACGAGGGGAGTGGACAGAGGCAGGAAGCCCGAGGAGAGAGTAACAGAATGCGTGCCCAGGGCCCGGACCACCAAAGGGCGTGGGTTCCGGGAGGCCCATGCAAGCAGGGAGCAGCATCGATGAGGATCAGGGTGCACATCAGCCCAAGTCACAGCTGCAACCAGGGGAGGGACACCCAGGGAGGCCCAGGCCCTGGGCCTGCAGGAAGGCTCACTCAGCCTCACAGCTGCCCTTGGGGGCTCCCTGTAAAGACCCTCCATGCAGGTTGCGGGGGCCACGCGAAGTGAATTCAGTGAAAACGAGGGGAGGCGCCCAATGACCCTGCAGGCCAGCACTTGGGTCTGGAAGGCGCCCGGCGCGGTTCTGTCGAGGTTCATCCTTGAAGCCGGGCGTGGAGGCTTGGGAACGTGATGGCGCATTCCCTGTTGCCCACTAACAGCAGACGTCCCCGTCTCAGCAGTCACTGAGTTGGGACTGACCACGCTGCAGAGAGGGGGCAGCAGGGACACGGCCCAACTGAGGAGGGGAAGGCAGGTGGCCCAACTCAGGGCAGAGCTAGCGGCTGCTGGGCTGCAGGGGGAATGGGGAGCTATGGATGCTTGTTGAGGAGCAGAGGTTCAAGGTGTTGGAGGGACAGTGGGTGCCCAAGTCCACAGCCAAGCACAGCACACTGGATTGCACAAGGCTGCCCGCAGGGTGAAGTTATAAGGAAGCATCAAAGTGAGACTTTTATGTTTTTTAAAGTAGCAAGTTTGATGGTTCCTCACTTAGAGGAATAATGTGAACTTTTTTTATTATGTAAGTGCCCACCTCACAGAAC